GCAGAAGTTGTTTATTGGCTTAGTGGAAAAGTTTATTACTTTATCAATGAAACATGGATTTGACTCCTAGGTTAGCTTGTTTTTTAAATTATTTTTAAACTTTAACTATGCACACACGTGTAACTATGCACACACGTGAAAAAGGAAGGAAAATAGTTCATAATAACTCTGTGTGGCCACAAACTAGAGAGGAGAGAAGAAAGAATAGACTCACTCAAAGAGAGCAACGTGGAAAAGAGATGAAATATGGGTGCTAACTCAATATTCGAAGGGGTGCAGAGATCAAAATCCATTTCTTTTTCAAGGGAGTTTCTTCTTAGTAAAAATAATAGGTTTTGGTTGTCAGCGTTCTGATGATCGATTCTTTCTGCTTGTTCAGTTGATTTTTCTTGGAGATGTTTGTAAACACTTTGACGTCCAAGTTAGTGATTGTCAAATATAAGAAGTATAAAGTTTTAATAATTTTTTGTATTTTGATTTGATATGTGTTGTCTAATTTTTAGGGATTTTATTAGAGTTTTAGGTCCTCATCGCTTAAATTCAATCAAAACTATCTAAATTGACAGGTGTCAATATATAATTTGTTTTGTTATCATACAATCTGACATAGGTTTCCTTCCTGTATTAGGTGTTTTTTCGGGAAGTTTCATGTCAGCTACACATAACAACAAATATCAAATAAATATTTTTCCTTCGGATGTCCTCGCTCTGACGTCATTCTTATCACAATTATATTCATCTTTTGGACTTTGTGACTAGGTTGAACTCCTTTTCATTGGGCCATTTTTGGGTCGAGACCGAGTAGAACTAATTGGATCCTGAGTCTACTTTGGCATATCCGACAGAAGGGCTTGTGATTTTTTATTGTCTTAGTTTGCCTTTAAAGTTTGGGGTTATGTAGTTTCTAACAGTCCGTGATTGCTTCTTCTCGTCCCAAAGTGTGATGAGGGACGTGATTCTTTTTCACGTGTTTGTTAGTTGAGATTTTTGACCAGGTCTTAAAATTCAGCTAAAGCAAGTTGAGGAATACAACTTTTAGATAACTTTTTAGATATGTGTAGGGGTGAATAAGAGACACGAAATGGGCGAAGTAGGGGTCGAAATCTCGTCCAAATGAAGTTGTGGACTTAAGATATTTTTCTATAGAAAGATAGATGATTCGACTAGGGAAGTCATCTGAACCAAGGCGGTTATCACAAATGAAAAGTGGTGTCGTAATCGTCCATTACCTCATCCCCAGCATGGAAACGTGCATAAACGGTTAACGGAGATAAGAGGATACATGACGCATCCGGAAGAGAAGACCATCATAAAATATTTACTTATTTGTATTATAAATAAATGTTTCATCAGTAGATTTAGGGGTGTTTAAACTTACTACCAAACTCACATACAACTGAAAGTACCCAACAAAGCGTGAAATGAGTCCTACGAGTGCAATGAATATTTGATCACCGAATTTCAATTAATGCAAAGCTTTTCATTCAGTCTCGCTTTAATTTCTTTTACATTTTCCAGTCGAAGTCTTCACATTTTCATTCAGATTTTTACCTTTACTTATTCTGAAACTCATAACGTGATTTTGAACACTGTTGAAATCACCTAAATGCTCACCATTCTTACTACATTTTAAAAATTTCAAGCATAGTATTCTGAAGTTCACTAGTCAATTTTGTAAAGCAACCTTTAATAAGAGACTAGCGGTGTTTACTAATTTTTAGGGTAAACAAATTGGCACATCCGGTGGGACCTGTGCTAATATTTTTTTAAGTGTTTTGTTAATTTCAGTACTGTTTTCATATTGTGTAGTTTGTTTTGCATGAAATTGATGTTTGTTTATGCATGAACTTGAGAAGTGGGAAGCAATTGTCTAAATTATCATGTTCTAGCACAGACACTAACACTTTTAACCCTACACAAAGTAATGCTCACAATTTGGATGTCATACCAATTGGTAGCGCAACTCAGAACACGACAGTTTTTCCCCCGTGAGGACATCTGCCTCTACTTGAGAATTTCATCGAAGTAATCGAATTTACACTCACCACTCTATCACTTACAACTGCTTCTCTATTTGACACGTCTGCTCCAACTGATTCCTTGTCAACGTCATTATTAGAATCATCTTCATCATTTGAACTTTGATGGCCACTAGATACAACATCATTAACATCTTCATCACAACTATATGCAGCAACAGATAAATCAGTGAAATGAATATTGTTCAAATCAACCCCAACAAAATCGCCGTACTTGTCCATCTGAAATCGGCCAACAATCATAAAACCTAATTCACAAATTGAAATGAAATCTTAACCTACATATTGGGTAACTAATTAATTGAAAATCGAAATCCTTAAATTTGAAATCCAAATAAAGACAATGACATCAATCATATAACCAAAATTCCAAATTGAAATAAAAAATTTGCAACTTAATGAATAGTTAACTTATTGAATATAAGAATCATTAAATTTGAAATCCAATTACAGATTACAACATCAATAACAAAAGCTAATTCCCAAACTGAAATCATATAAGAAATTGAAATTATTAAATAGTAAACCCAATTACCTTAGAAAAACGGGTATCAATACGAACTATGTGAGGAGCGTGATTGTATGGGATAATATTGAAGGTTTGCTCATTGAACAATGATGGAAAGAAAACTCACGATCGCGAAAGAAGAAGATAAAATGTGCGTTCGTTAGTGGTCGTTTTACGATTACGGCAGAAGAAGATGAATGTGTATAGTAAAGAATATGAAGTTGTTGAAATTTTTTTTGAAGAAGATGAAGTTATCGTGACAAAATTTTTATTAGTTTTATTAATTTTGATTTTGGAAAAAATAAAATTTGAAGTTAAAAAAAAATTAATAAATAATAAATGCACTACTACAAAACGTGCAAACAACAACGCTCAGGTCACCACGGTTCTTCCACACTGTGGTGACATCTCTAAACTCAGGCGCAAACATTTTTTTTATTTATTAATTATTGTTAGGATATAATAACGGTTACTTAACTGATCGTGATGATATATTCAAACTTTCATGGGTTCGAACCTCAACCAACTCAAGTATTTTATTCTTTTGACGTTAAGACACACCTTTTATTTTTATTTATTTTTAAATAAAAAATAAAAGGAATAGCACAACGGTTGGTTAGTTCAACCGTTGTGATATATTTTGTTTTTTATTTAAAAAATTTAAATGGATAAACACTGGAGATTCTTTATGAAATTTCATTATGCAAATAATATATCATTACAGTTTAGAAGTTGGACTGTGGTTGTATCTGTTTAAATATTATACCCTTCTATCTAGCTTGTCTCTTCGGTTTCTATTTTTCCACTGAAAAAAGAAATAAGACGAAACAACCCTAACCTTCAATACTGTGAAACGATACACGATTTCAACTCTAACACCATCGTTCACTGTTTATCATTTTCCATTCAATACTTTGATACTGTCTCTTTTTACTAGTCATTTTCGTCTAGGGGGGAGACAACACGAACATGATCGTCATCGTCGAAGAGGGAGACAACACGAACACCATTCTCATTGTTGGGAAAGAAGACAACACCAATAACATCGTCATCATCGAGAAGGAAGACAACACCAATACAATATTCTCCTTTACTTAGTCATCACATTTACGGTACGTAAAACTTTTTCCCCATGAATTACAGTAAACTTCATTTGCCATTATTGTGAATATTGTTGTTATTGATAAAAGAGCTTGTTGTTGTTTATGTTGTGGTTGTTGTTTATGTCCTTGATGTTGTTGTTTTTGTTGTTGTTGTTGTTGTTGTTTTTGTTGTGATTGTTTATGTTGTTGTTGTTGTTTTTTAACATAGATGTCGACATTGTTGAATTCATCTACTAGTGAAGAAACTGATCATATGATAACACCTGATTGCACTGCATATTTGACTCAAATAACACATGTTTTTCATAATTTTAGTACTGTTTTCTTGTGTTATGCTTGTATTTTTCTTATTTTCAGGCAACATGCCCATTTGGAGCTCTTCTTGAAGAAACTAAGCGAAAAGGCCAAGAAATCGAAATTTTCAGTGAAATCCCACACATGGCGTTCAGCTCAGCGGCCACTATAGGGGGGGGCACCGTGATGTTTCCCACTCCACCCAGGGGATAACTGCCACATTCCCCATGATCTCTCTATTTGCACACTCAGCACCCACGGAGGGGCCTCGGCGGCCGCGGTCTTTGCTAAGTTTCTTCCCTCCCAAAAGGAGTTGGGGGACATTTCTGCCAAAGCATAGCCTGGAGAACTTCTATAAATAGTAGTTTTCATTTCATTTTCCATGATCCAACTTAGTATTGCAACGCTAAGCCTATACTCACTTATGTAAAAGCAATAATTCGCCACATCGGAGGATTATTACACTATAGTCTTGATTAGGTTGGAGCATCTCTTTATTTACAATATTGCCGCCATTTTACGTCAAGCATTTACTTTCCAGTTGTACCAAGATTTAAAGACTATGATTTGGAGCAGGTTTCTATTTAAGTTTTTTATTTTATTCAATCATTTTGTCTTGCACTTGCATTACTTATTTTATTATCTTGTCTTGCCTTTATTACTATGTTTATTTTGATCAACTTTAATATGCTTGATTTTATTTCCATGTCTGGCTAAATACTTTAAGGTTGGAATGTAAGGATCATTACCATAATAGAATTTCAACACCGTATCAATAGAAACACTTTAGGGGTTGTTTTAACTTTTAACACAAGTTTTCCGTACTTAATATTTTTGGATAAGATCGAAATCCGTCCATTTCAAAGAGTAAACTTGGTTAGTTTTTAATCGTTCAAAAGGGAGAAAGCGTTTTGACTAGTTAATTAGAGATCTTTGACACTTTTAGAAAACAATTTTGAAACTACTTTCGGATACATTTATAGGTTTATAATTCGATTCTTGAGCGAAATCAAATAATCTCTTTATGTCAATCATTCCGAGTTGAAACCATTTTTTTACTAAGTTAAGAAACTAATTTCTTAAAAATAGGTTTGCTGCTTTAATGCTTGAAGCACCCTTTTATAAGTGACAATAGAAGGATTTGATTAGAGAGTAAACTCGGTTCTTAGTTAGCGAAAGCGACAAGTACCCATCAAATTGTTCCTTTACAAGAGTGGAAAATATTACCTCATGAGTAATTCTATTAAATACAAATTGAAATGTTATTTGACCAATGTGATTTACATTCTAGCCTGTTGTTGTACCCCAAAATTTACCCTCTTTTCATACACGCATATTATTGGTTTTATGGTTATGTAATAAAGGTATATTCATCAAGCTTCTTCAGGTTACAAGTGATGTTTATTTCTCCAATGGATGTTCTCAGAGTATTTTCTGTGCTGAAGATCGGTTCGCCGTTTTGCAATGATTCGGGGTTCAAAGATTCAGAACTCCAACCTGGCGCGTCATATTCAGGTGTTCTTTCACTAAGATATCTCTGATAACGTATTCTCAAATTCAGGTTTGGCTCAAGATTCAATTCTTTAAAGAAGGTCTCCGAATGTGTGAGTTTTCTCGAAGAAATATGGTCAAAAAGTGTGTTGAAAGTGTAGTTTTTACGCACTAAAAAATTCATAACTTGAAGATCGTGGCTTGTTTTGAACTCGTTCTAGTGGTGAAAATTCCGTCTTGACGTCATCTACATTTTCATCTCTCACGGCTGAAAGCCAATTTCGAACAGAAGATCTTCAAAAATGCGGATTTATCAAGTATTTCCATACAGAAAATTTGTGACAGAAGTTTATTTGCGTCATGTTCAGAAAATCATAACTTGGTCGATTTTCATCGTATCGAGCTGGTTCTAGCGCCAAAATTTCACAATTTGAGTTGGTTAAGTTTTCACAGGAGGTATTCAGTTCGAACGGTATCCAAAAGGCCTTTGTTTTTTGCCCAAAGTGCGCGTGACGCGCCGAAAATCCTGAATGCTGAATATTATTTCATCTGGATCAAAAATTCATAACTCGGTCAATTTTTATCGGAGTGGGTCCATATTTTTACACAAGGTCACTGACTCAGAGATCTAAAACTTTGCTTCTAAAGTCGGGACCGGTTTATGCTCCGATCAATACCAGTTCTTTTATTGAAGAACGTGTCGGAGTTGATACTGGAGCCCAAAATAAGTATGTCTGAGGAGAAACTTCAAAAATTCATAACTAATTCACTGTTTATCCGATTGAGCCCATTTTTTACAGGAGTTAATTCTCGATGTAGGATATATTTTGTTTTCAAATTTTAACTTCAAAAATTGCACTTAAGCCCCTGCGATTTAGCCTAGAACGTGACAGACTCAAGTGAATAAAAATCTACACTATTGTTTGTGGTTATTGGAGGCCAAATTGCACATTCAAAGCTCATTTTTCCCCCTCTAATTTCCATTTTATAATCTCATTCTTTTCACACAAATAACACGGGAAAAAAAACCATTGCGACAACTCTGTCAAAATGTCAAATTCCTTCAAGAACCCTAAAAATAAGAAATCTTTGTTACAAACCTCCATCTCACTACAAACTAGCCATCCTCGTTACAAATCCACATCTCACTACATACAAGAAATCCTTGTTACAAACCCTCATCTCACTACAAACAAGCCATCCTCGTTACAAATCCACATCTCACTACTTTCACTACTTTTCCAGCAAGGGTAAGGCTGGTTTGATATCTATGATCCAAAGGGTATAAAAGCATTCATACATGCCATATCGGTTTTAACATTATAAAATTTCATATATTTATTTTCTTTGTATTTCATGGTATAATAATTTGCTTAATGTGTCTATGAGATTCAACACTACAGGTTTGACTATTATGGTTCCATGCAGGTTTATTACAAAACACTGAGGTCGGATCATAACAACCACCAATGTATGTCAAGACAGACATCCTGAGAAGGTTAAGGCAACCATCTGTTTAAAACTTTTTTCATAAAACCTAATATTTTTCACAAACCTTTGATTTTTTATAATAAACTTGAATAATTAATTTTAGTTTTTTTTAATCTAATTTTAGGTTTTAAATTAATTTTTGGTTCAATACCCACCCCTGACAATATGTATAATTTTGCTTATTTTTAACCATTTTTGCCTCATTTCTTTCTTCTTAATATCTTCCTTAAAAACCCTAAATTCATATAAACTCTAATTTTATTTAAATCAAAAACCCTATTAATTGGCAAACTTAACTTTTTTTTACAAACCCTAATTAATTTAGGTTTTAAGTT